TAACACACCAGAAGGTAGGAAACAGATCCATGTGGGAAAATGGGCAGAACGAAATAGGATGCAGTTCAACAAAGAAAAGTGCAAAGTGCTGCACCTGGGCAAAAAAAACCACCAACACACATAGGCTGAGGGATGACCTTCTCAGCAGCACAGCAGCGGAAAGGGATCTTGGAGTCATAGTTGACTCCAAGATGAACATGAGTTGTCAATGTGACAAAGTGATCAACAAAGCTAACCGCACTGTATCATGCATTAGCAGTAAGGTTGTGTGAAATTTTGCTGGCTGTTTCATTTTGACACTGTTTCAACTCATTTTGAGGTCGAAACAGCAAAATCGAAAGGAAACAAGGGGCGTTGAAATGTTTCGACCATAGTGCTGTGGATGGGAAGTCAGTCCAGCTGGGCTGATTTCCCATTCCCAGGGCTAGATCGTGCGGGGGTGGGAAGTCAGCCCAGCTGGGGGAGACTGGACAAGCACCTAGCTGGGGTCGTCTGACCCCAGCGCTTTTTCCTTTCCAGGGCAGGGGGTTAGACTTGTTGACCTGCTGAGGTCCCTTCCGACTGTAACATCTATGAATCTACTTCATGTCAAGCAAAGTAATTGCTAACGGTATTCTTCTTAATATGCAATAATTTGCTCTATTGAGTTGCTTTTGGTTAATGTCCAGCTTCAGTAATCACATGCGTCAGTGAGTTCTATACTTTGCATTTCTTCTCTTGTTTTATTTCAGAATAATAAGATGGGAACTCAACTGCCCCAGTGATGGTTTTTAACAATGGTTAAAAGCAAATCAGTGGACATTTTTTAGATAGTTTTCAAAATCTTAAAAAAACTGGGGAACAACTTTTATTATATTTTCAGCTATTTGAAATCAGAAAAAAACGCATAAAAAGGAAACTTGAAAAATACAAAATACAGAATTGGAAAACTGAGAGCTCAGTGAACTTTATAATGATCCCCATTGGAACTGAACTGCCAGAGCCTAATAGTCAAATCCCCGATGTAGCATCTGTATGGGTAATGCTCAGTGAAACTCAAGTCGATTGGCAGTTTATCCTAATGCCAGTGGCAGCTGGAACTTAAATGATATAAATGGAATATTTCTAGAGCTGATCCTCTTTGGAAGTAGATGTGTTTTCTAGTTCACCATGAGAGTGCTGCACTTCATAAAAGGCAGTCATAAAAACTTGACTTCATAAAGGCAGTCATCACTGAAAATACGGCTACAATAGGTAAGATATTTTATTTTAAAGTATGGGAAAGATCTGGTGTGATACAAGGGATGAAATCATAAAGGAGGATTATACTTTAACCTCACAACAATATTCAGGAATATTAACAATATTAAGGAAGAATGGACTGGACTGGAATGTGGATAGAAAACTGGCTGGAGCACTGGGCTCAGAGGGTAGTAGTCAGTTGGCAGCCGGTATCAAGTGGAGTGCCCCAGGGATTGGTCCTAGGACAGTTGTGTTTAATATGTTCATCATGACCTGGAAGATGGCATAAAGTGCACCCTCAGCAAGTTTGCAGATCACACCAAGCTGCAGAATAGTAGATATGCTAGAGGGTAGGGCTAGGATTCAGAGTGACCTAGACAAATTGGAGGATTGCAACAAAAGGAATCTCATGAGGTTCAACAAGGACTTTTGCAAAGTCCTGCACTTAGGACGGAGCAATCCCATGCACCGGTACAGGCTGGGGGCTAACTGGCTGGGCACCAACTCTGCAGAAAAGGACCTCAGGGTTACAGTGAACAATAAGCTGAATATGAGCCAAAAGCGTGTCCTTGTTGCCAAGAAGGCAAACGGCATCCTGGGCTGCATTAGTAGGAGTGTTCCCAGCAAATCAGGGGAAGTGATTCTTCTCCTCTAATCAACACTGGTGTGGCCACATCTGCAGTACTGTGTCCAGTTCTGGGCCCCTCACTACAGAAAGGAGGTGGACAAATTGGAAAGAATCCAACAGAGGGTAACAAAAATGGTTAGAGGGCTGGGGCACATGACTTCTGGGAAGAGGCTGAGGGAACAAGGCTTATTTATTCCAGAGAAGATAAGACTGAGGGGGAATTTAATAGCAGCCTTCAACTACTTGAAGTGGGGGAGGGTTCAAAAGAAAATGGAGATAGATTGTTCTCAGTGGTGGCAGATGACAGAAGAAGGAGCAACAATCTCAAGTTGCAGCAAGGGAAGTTTAAGTTAGATATTAGTAAGCATTTTCTCACTAGGAGGGTAGTAAAGCACTGAAAAAGTTTACCCAGAGAGGTTATGGCCTCTTCATCCTTGGAGGTTTTTAAGACCTGGCTAGCCTTTTAAAAGCCTTGGCTGGGGTGATCTATTTGTGGATCATCCTTCTTTGAGCAGGGGGTTGGATTAGGTGGCCTCCTGAGGTCTCTTCCAACCCTAATTTTCTATGATTCTACAATTTAGCTTTTCAGTATGTGTTTATTATGCAAATAGAACTAAACAAAAAAATATTTAGGGTGATCTGGCAGAGAGAAAAAAAGATACTGAAGTTTCCAATTTTGAATCAACAAGGTCAGTTTGACTAATTAATCTCTGTCTTTGTTTTTTTCTCTGCCCCCTTCTTTTTCCTCACCTTCATCTCTTTGATCATAGTGACCAGAAAAACCTGGTGCTTAGAAATGTTCTATCAAAAGCCTTGCCAAAGCATTTGGCTTTGATGAAGCAGCATATTTTGCTGAAAATATTCTAAACACCTCTGCTAAGGATATGTGCTTCCATAATACATGTGGGAATGCTCAGATAAGGAAAGGGTAGTCTGGGTAAAGGTACATTCAGTACTACTGCAATTTTTTTTTTATATATAGAATTGTGCATATACATAAATCACTTTTCCTTCATAACTTCCTGTGAGGAATAGAAGAGAACATCCTCATGTTCTGGAGATATATATATCAGCCAAAACTACTGACATGCGATTACAAATGGAGATAGTGATATATAAAAATCACACTTCTCATCGGCCTCTCTTCTAAGCACTGGACCAAGCTTTGTCTCAGTTCCACAGAGAAACCAAGACTGCTGTTGGTTGGTGCTCTGTTTTAATAACTTATTTCCTACAGCAGAGGCTAAAAGCTTGTGGACTGCCCCAGTCCAGCGTGGGCCAGGTGACTTCTGCAGTGCATCAGAAGCAGGGCAGTTTGCCTGTGCCCACACCAGGGCCAGGTGCTCCTGGCACTTCTGACTTCCTGCTCCCCCGCCTCGCAGCTGGAGCTGTTCATCTTCCAGCCAGTGTGGATTTGGGCCTGAGCCAGAACAAGACAGCTGGGAGCTGCATCTATGCCTCAGGCACTTCTCTCCACCCACAGCTGCAAGCTGTCCAGCCCCTGCTCAGTTCCCCACTGGCTGGAAGCTCTGTCTGTGCTGCAGGGAGAAGTGACAGCAATGCAGGGCTTGGCAGAGCTCCTCTCTGCCCACATCTAACACAGGCAGGGGCAGAGTCAAAGCCCTCCATTTCCATGGGCCAGACCCAGTGGCTCTGCAAGCCACTGGCCCACAAGCCATTTGTTGCCAACCCTGTCCTAGAGGCAAAAAAGTACCCATGACTCTTGATTGCTTCTCCTGAAGAGTGGGCAGTACTTGTTCCATAGAACTGGAATTAGAGAGCTTTAGGAATGTGTTTGACTTTGAGGTGACAAACCCTCTCCCTGGCCTCTGAGCTCAAAATAGAAAGTTAACTGGGAGCAGCAAAGCCATGCTTAAAACCAGACCCCTGCAGGTTACATCCCTGCCCCTTCTCTCCCCTACACACACACACATTCCTCGTAACCCTATGTATCGACTGGAATTTAATTGTTTGTATCATCATAATGCCTATATTTAGAGAGGGGAATTTTTAGTTGACCAGGACACAAAGATAAAAGTTTCCTCTTGACCAGCAGACTATTAAGATTTATCTGGTAAAAAATAAGTACCAGTGGAACCCTGAAATGTTTATATAACAACCATAAAGACAGGGTATAACCTATATGAAATCCTACGTATTATATATACATTTTTTTTGTTCTGCTTTTTTCCCCTTGTTCATTCTTCATTTCCAGCACCAAGACTTCATCTTACCACCTTTTTTCTATATGTGCTCTTAGAAATTGATTTCATAATTCTCTCCTCCTAGTTCATGGAAATGACTTGGCATCTTATGTCTTAGCATAAATGTGCACCCCTGTTACGGATCACAAAACTAATACCTTCTGCAGCAGGGTAGTACTTGTACAATAAAATTGTAGATGTCGCCCTGGCTGGCTGGGGGCAGTGAGGGGCTAGCCTGCAGGCAGCCCCTATGCTGAAGCACTCTCATGCCTCAGCCAGCCTCTCTGCAGCATGTGGAGTCCAGCTGGAGCAGCCCTGGGCTTGCAGGCTGACCTTCTGGGTCCTCTGTAAGCCCGGGCTCTTGTCTGACCAGGGTTCATGTGATGCACACAAACTCCAGAGCAATATGCTGTGGAATTTCTTCATGCATATCAATCACTCATGTAGACATGCCCAGTTTTAACAATTTATGAAGGTAATTATATTTTAGGTCTGCCTGGGACACTGGGGGACTGGCGTTGATGACCCAGGATGTTTCTTCCAGTTCTATAGTCTTATGACCCTGGTGATAGAGAAATTCCATTCATCATACTTCTTGGTGTTCAGTCACCAGCATTAAATTGTTGCTCTGAGCACTAGAAGTTGCACTGCCGATAGTCACTGGTCATTTTTTTCAAATGAGGAGTTTATTTTCAAACCTTACAAATAATGTATTTTGATACATATTTCAAAAGATTAGAAAAAGTGAATGAAAAAAGGAATAAAGGGAGACATCTGCTCTGTTTCCCTGAAAACAAACAGAATAAAAAAGATCTTTTGTTAAGCAAATGAGATGATAAAACTCCATGTATACACACACAGGCTAACACATATACATATATGCATAATCTATTATGACTGAGGTTGTTACTGATCTTCCCTGTCCAGGTTTTGTGCAACAATACTAAATGGAACAGAATTTCACCACCACGGTGACAGAATTTATCCTCTTGGGTCTCTGCCAGAATCCTAAACTAAGATTTCTCCTTTTCTTCATTTTTCTGTTTGTCTATATGATGACCTGGATTGGAAACTTCACCATCATTGCCACAGTAATCTTTGATCTTCACCTCCACACCCCTATGTACTTCCTCCTGGCCAACTTGGCTTTTGCAGATGTGACCTATGGGTCCAGCACTGTACCCCTCATGTTGTCAGGACTCCTCACTCAAGGAATGATTGTCTCATTTGCCAGCTGCTTTTCTCAGATGTTCTTCTCCCATCTTACAGGGGGAGCTGAAGTCTTTTTCCTTGGGGTGATGGCTATTGACCGGTATATAGCTATCCATAAACCACTGCACTACACAACAATTATGAACCAGAGTGTGTGTATGGGGCTGGTGGCAGGAGCATGGTTGGGTGGCTTTATTCATTCAATTATCCAGATAATACTGTTAGTACAGTTGCCATTCTGTGGACCAAACAAACTTGACAATTTCTATTGCGATGTTCCACAGGTCATCAAACTGGTCTGTACAGAAACTTTTCTGTTGGAGCTGCTAACAGTCTCCAACAATGGTTTGATCACAACACTGATATTCATCATTTTGATGTTATCCTACACAATCATCTTGATCAAAATAAGGACACATATCACAGAAGGGAAGCACAAAGCTTTTTCCACATGTGGAGCCCAGATTGTAGTTGTGTGCTTAATTTTCCTTCCTTCAACATTGATTTATGCTCGGCCATTCCGTACTTTCCCATGGGACAAGTCTGTCTCTGTACTCTACACAGGCGTCACCCCAATGCTGAGCCCTTTAATTTACACTTTGAGAAACAATGAAATGAAAGCTGCCATCAAGAGGTTAATTAGCAGGATCTTGTTCTCAGGAATAACATGAAAGCAATAATTTAATTTTGAAATGTTCAGTCTTCTGTCTTCTTTGCAAAAGTGCAACAGTAGATGCTTTTGATCTAATTGACTTTGGCTTTTTGGAGGAATGGAAAGTAATAATCAAGGTAGATTATCCATGAGTGACAATATGGTGGTTTTTATTCCTTTGCATCAATCGACATGGATGGAAATCTCTTTAATACCAACCAGTTATGTTCCAAATCCAAGATAACCAATGCTTCCATTACTGATGTGCAGCACGCTGATGATTGTGTCATGTGCCCACTCAGTTGAAAAGCACCAGGTCACTCTTTTGACTGCTTCTGTGAAGAATATTAAATGCTTGGACTTCTTGCCAACTTTATAACAACCAAAATGCTTTACCAACATATCCCAAACTAACCATCTGCTTCTCCACATACTACAATTAGAAGGCAATGCTCGAAAAATGTTGAGCATTTCCTTTACCTGAGTAGTCACCTTTTCCAAAACAAACATAGATGATTATATTCAACCCTGAATAAAAACTGCTAGTGCTGCCTTTTGACATCTCTAAAATAATTTATTCAGTGATCATGAGATCAGGACCCATCCTTACCCTGTTGTATAGGTGTGAAACTTGGACAACATATCAGAAACAACAGAAAGCCTTGTCATATGACCATCCAGAAAAACTTCCATATAAAATTAGAAGATTGATATCTGACAGTTCCAAAAAAATGCGTTCTTACTTTTTTGGATATTTACTATTTTTTTTAGAAAAAGAAAACACACTTTAAAAATATTTTTCTTGGGAAAAAATGCTTCAGCTACATTCCTAGTTTTTTTGTTATTTGTTTGTTTTATACATAGCCTTTTTATTATAACTTTGGGCCAGTTGTAGTGTGTGGCATGTCAAAGATAAAAGATTGGAATATACAGGTCTATATTAAATATAATAAAGACTCCATGCGAGGGAGTGGGATAGGATTAGATCCTATTTATTGTTTGTGCACCTAAGTGGCACACATATAGCTACACAACAGCAGTTTTTGGCATTTATGCAAAGTTTGGTATTGCCTTTGCTAGCTTACCAAGGGCTGCATTCAAAGAGGGCAGCTATCTGGGGGAAACAGAGTCAACCATGTATGTGTGCAAGGCTGGGCAAGTCCAAAAGTTTTAGTCAGCAAAGCAAGACAAGTAGTAGGAGTTAGACACAGAGGAGGACTCTCCCATTTTTAATCCAATAACCATTGTTTAGGGCATTTACCTACGGATCAGAATTCACCCAGAATAGCAGGAAGCAAGTCTCTGTCCCCTCTAGGACAGCATCCATCAAACCAATCATACCCCTCTTCTATGTTATTTTTTCTCCTGGGCATGCCAATGGAGCTTTCTGGGCTCCCCTGTTAGTTAGCTTCATGTGATGGGAAAGGCTTAGAGCATTTTCCCAAGAAGCAGGTTCAAATCATTTTGGGGTGGGAGAGGAAGTGAATATAAAACCTGGGACTCCAAGTCCCCACCAAGTTACCTAACTCCTAGGCCATCAAGCTTAAAAGATGTAAAGGGCCTCCTCCTCCTGGTGCATTAGCAAGGAAATTCTATTTACCTGAGATAAAAGGAAATTCCAGACTCTGGACCTTGTTACACATTGCACTTTGATCTGCTCAAATGTTGATTGGTGTTAGTGCTAATTTGAATTTGGAGCAGTCACACCTTAAAGCTATAAACCTTCTCTGTCTCCCACATGTACAGCTATGACTTGTCACTAGATGGCTGATGAGCAGGAGCAAACTAAGAGCCACAGCTGTGAGCTAAGCAGGGCAGGCTGCTATCCCTGCGCTAGGTGGGCTGTTTGACAGATGAGCTGAGGGGAGGGGAGTAGGAGCATGAAGCTAGGAGGTGGCGTGTAAATGGGTTGGGGTTAGGTAATGAAATGGGAGGTAAAATATAAGTGGTAATGGGGGAAGGGTCATGAAATTAAGTCAGTCAGCCACTTAAGGATAAAATTAAAAAGTTAAAAAAAGAGATGAAGTAAATTAAAGAAGAAGGTTTCATGTTTAAATTAATTGGGACATAGGGAGTGCTAGTTATGCTTCTCAGGATGGTTGGGGTGAAGGAAGGAACCCCCAAGCTCATGGGGATCTGATCCAGCCCCACACCTTGTTTCATCCCACCCCCCTAAATTCAACTCCCAGACCCATCTGTGCCCTGTGATCTGTTTGCTTGGGTTTGCATCCATGGGAATGGGAAGGTCACACCCCAGGGGGCAGGAGGGGGAGGTGGGCTTGGTGCCAGAACTCCCTGCCCCCCACCCCGGTAGTAGAGTTGAGGGGATGGAAAGTTTGTCCACATAGAACAGGGAGGGGATAGGACACTGCATCCTGGGAGGCTGGAGGACTGGAACTTGGATGGCTCATCTGTGGGGAGTGGCCACACATTAATGGAACATGATCTGGGTAACACACGGATCAGAGATAAACCTGCTCTGGAATGGCATAACGTTAAGCTACTTAAAGTATGCTTAAAACTAGTTTCAGCAACTAATGTGTGGACAATCCAGGAGTAAAGAGCTCCAGGAGCTGCCTAAACTTAGTGTAACAAGGCGCTCAGTGCCAGAATTTTCAGTTATTCATTTACACAGGCACCCGAATTCCTACTAGGACCTGGCCCATTGTACACGTGTCTGTAGTAGTCAACACTGACTATGGAACCAGAATGTCTATTTTTCACAGTTTCTGTCCTGCCAGCTGTGACACTTGAATATTTTTCTCTGCTTTAAAGAACTATAAACCAAAAAGAGTTCTGCCTTAGCTTGTTTGCTATATTGTCTTGTCAAAAACTTTAAAAATATCAGTGGAAGTAGGAACATTGAAGAAAATATCTGTATAATCAAAATATGCCATTATCAGAAATCTGTGGAAAATTTCATGGCCACTTTCTTAATAAAAAGGGAGAAAGCAATGCCACTCTAAAGTGCTCCTTAAATATTTAGGTTCAGATATTTCTAATTTCTCATTTTGACAACCCAGTCACATTGGATTGCAGTTGGGTTTGAACATCTAATTACTTACATTAGAGCATCTAATTAGGTTCTCTTGAACTCATCAGCCCCAAACAATATGAACTTTGATTGCTACAAAATTCAATCATCAGTACTTAGTAGTTTCTCCTACTATTGCTCACTTGTAGTTAAACTATGCAACTCATTGCTAGATGATTATATTGTGTTCCAGAGTTGAAAAGGAATCAAGTACAATTTTATATATTAATGGAAAAGTGAGAACTAATTCATTTAATAAGAGTAAAAATAAGTAGAAATTTAAATTCCTCCTACTTTGAAGCATTTATACACTGTTACGGGTATGAAGGATTTTCTATTAAAAAGTAGGAAAATAGAACAAAAACAAACAAAAACCCTGACACCTATTGAAGCCAGGGAAACCACTTCAAAGCCCCTGCTTTGAATCCTGGAGTTGGGCTTAGGGAGCAGTGTGAGATGCATGTGTGAAAGCCCATTGTGCCCCTGCACCCCAAAGCCCCCCAATGACCCCCAACCACCATGGAGCACCCCCGCCAACCCCCAGCACAGCCAGAGGTAAGCAGGGCCCATGGTGGGAGGGGACTAGCCCAGCTTAGCTGCAGGGAGGCAACTGAGAGGAGCCGAGGAGGGTCTCACCCCAACCCAGCTCCTACTTCATCCAGCCCCCAAGGGAGCCACACAACTGGAGCCTCATGAACAGGCCGCACAAACAAGTGCACTTGTCTGTCGGGCGTGTGAGCTAGCATGGGAGTTTGTGCAGGAGAGTGAGTGGGAGGACTTGAGGCCCTGCCAGTTAGCCCTAGGGAAGCCAGTCCCATCAGAAGCCCACCTACCAGTGGCACCGTGCAGATGGGCATGCGCTACACCCCGATGGTCCCATCGGAGTCTGCAGCCCCCCTTCTGGTGCATCACAGGCCTCTACCCAGATGGAGCCCATGGTTCTGGGCTCCACGCAGAAGGAGCCTCTGGCTTTTAGCTGTGGGGGCTGCCTGACACTTTTTCAGGCCCTGGGGTCTGGGAGCCTGGCCATCACCACTTATGAGGTCTGCTCCCTTTTGGGGTCTCTTGTGTGCCAGCTAGAGGAGCTTCAGGCTGCAGTCCAGAGACTACATGCCATCAGGGATGGTGAGTGGGAGATCGACTCCTACTGCCAGACCCTTCACCATCTGAAGGTGAAGGGTAGACTAGGGTCACCTTCCAGGTGAAGGGAGCATTCAGGGACCTCCCATTCTGTCCAGCCTAGAGTTTTGGACCAAGGTGGTCAAGGGGCCGAAGGCCCGCCGCACCAAGGTCTCCACCTCACTGGAGCTTTACAACAAGTATGAATCTCTTGCAGCCCCAGCAGAGGCCGATAAGCTGCCAGCTCCTGCAGGCAACACAGGCTCAACTGTAGCTACTGCCCCTGCTGTCCCCAAGACAAAATGCAAAGTGTTTGTCATGGGAGACTCCATCCTGAGGGGGACAGAGGGAAAAATCTGCTGCCGCAACCCCTTAGCATGGAAAGTCTGCTGTTTCCCGGGATCCCACATCCGAGACATTGCAGAGAAGATCCCTAAGCTCCTCTGGCCTACTGACCACTACCCTATGCTCCTTATCCATGTGGGTACAAATGGCAGGGCTCGGAGCAGTCCCAGCTGGGTCCTGAAGTGCTACCGGGATTTTGAAGTGGAGAGTAAGGGTCTGGGGGCACAGGTGATGCTTTCCTCAATCATCCCAGTTTTGGGCTATGGGCTGAGGAGGGAGAGGAGGATCGAGGTAGTAAACCAAAGACTGAGGTGCTGGTGTCATTGGGAAAGCTTTGGCTTCCATGACCACAGTTCGCTCTTGGGTGAGAGAGGCAGCGAGCTGCTGGGAAGGGACAGCCTCCACCTCTCTGCTGGTGCGGAGGCTCTTCTCAGCCAAACTGGCTGACCTGCTCCACCGGGCTTTAAACTAAACCTGCCAGGGGATGGGGGGGACTACCGCCACTGCTGCCCACTGAGCAACCTTTGCAAAGCCAGCAGGCCAAGGCACTTAAGGGATCCCACCCCTTCCCCAGCCCTGGAATGATCTGTAGGCAAGGCAAGGGCCCCCATAGAAACACTTGCCTGCCTATACACAAATGCCAGGAGCTTGGGAAATAAACAGGAGGAACTTGTCCTCCTGCTTAACACAAATAATTACAATGTCATAGGGATAACGGAGACCTGGTGGGACTCCACCCATGACTGGGCCACAGGTATAGACAGCTATACCCTGTACAGGAGAGATCAAGTGGACAAAAGGGGTGGGGGTGTAGCTCTCTATGTCAAGGAGAGCTACACATCCCTGCAAGCTGACATTGAATCTTTGAGAACTCCTGTCACCCTGGTGAAGTGTCCTAAGATTGGATGAAGGTCAATGTGGTGCCTATCTTCAAGAAAGGGAGGAAAGTGTCCTTAGCTTCACCATAATCCACTGGCTAGGGAATTGGTTCCGTGGTCAGACCCAGAGGGTGGTGGTTGATGGGAGTCAATCGTTGTGGTGCGCTATGACCAGTGGGGTCCCTCAAGGCTCTGTCCTTGGGCCTATACTCTTCAACGTCTTCATTAATGATGTGGACACTGGTATCAGAAGTGGACTGGGCAAGTTTGCCGATGACACCAAACTTTGGGGTAAAAGCGTCCACACCTGAGGACAGGAGGGCGATCCAGGCTGACCTTGACAGGCTCAGGAAATGGGCTGGAAGGGACCTCAGAAGATCCTGATGGTGTTTAACACTGAAAAATGCAAGGTTCTCCACCTTGGGAAGAAAAACCCATAGCATGCTTACAGGCTCAGCAGTGCTACGATGGCTAGCACTATGGACAAAAGGAACTTGGGGGTCATGATTAACCACAAGATGAACATGAGTCATCAATGTGATGCTGTAGCTTGTGAAGTCAGAAAAATGCTGGCTTGCATCCATAGATGCTTCTCAAGCAAACCCCAGAACGTCATTCTCCCATTGTACTCGGCCTTAGTGAGGCCACAGCTGGAGTACTACGTGCAATTTTGGGCACCACAATTTAAAAAGGATGTAGAGAAGCTTGAGAGAGTGCAGGAGAGCCACACGCATGATGATGACAGGCTGAGAACTACGGGACTCTTCAACCTGAAAAAGCACAGGCTCAGGGCTGATCTGGTGGCTGCCTATAAGTTTATAATGGGTGCTCACCAGAATCTGGGGGAACATCTGCTCACCAGAGTGCCCCAAGGGATGACAAGGTTAAAAGGTCACAAACTCCTCCATGACCATTTCAGGGTGGACATAAAGAACTTCTTTACTGTCCAAGCCCCCAAGGTTTGGAATAGAGTGCTGCTGCAGGTGGTTCAACCACCTACTTTGAACTCCTTCAAGAGACATTTGGATGTTTATCTTGCTAGGATCCTATGACCCCGGCTGAATTCCTGCCCCTGGGGCAGGGGGCTGGACTCAAAGATCTTCTGAGGTCCCTTCCAGCCCTAATGTTTATGAAATCTATGAAATCTCATATTTGGAAGTATAATATCACTGAATATCAAAAGGTATGAAGATTTTTTCCATAGAAGTTAGTGTTTTAATAAATGAAAATTGGGTTAATGGGAGATTTCAGCAGTTTGCTCTGAACCAACCAATGTTGGCCAGTGTAGAAGGATTTGTGTGACTAGGTATCACAGTCTATGCTCCTTCGTTCAGAAAAAAAATTAAATTACTTCTCAGCTGGTGATAGTTGGACAGAATGTGTGACATAGGAAGAAGGAGAAAGTATAATAATAGGGTGTGCCTTGTACTGTCCTAGAAGCAGTGATTCCTGGTTTTCCAACTCATCTCAAGTGTCATGAGCCTGCTGTTCTGCCAGATTGGTAACAAAACCCAAGTACTCAGACTTGAAACTACCTAAGTGTACTTACTTCATGTTCTCTTCTAGAGATGGTAGCAGAAGTCAGGAATCCTGACTCCCAATATTTTCACTCCACCCCACATCTCTGAATTCCAGGTTTTGAAAGTTAGTCAATAAAATATATCACCTGCAAAGATTCTTGCCTTTCACATAATCCATGGACAATCATGGCTACAACATCACTCTAAAACTATGAGGTTTAGAAAGGTTCATTTTATTCATATATTCACCTTAAAAAGTCCACACAAGGTTAAGCATTGAACTACACTCTAAAACACTTGTCACAGGGTACACCTATTGGCAGTAATTATTTAGAGGGGAAGGGGTATTATTTATTGTACGTAACTATTTCCCAAATTGAGTTTACTGCTATCATGTTTGTTCCCTGTAAATGGACAATGTGAAGCTGTTTATTGTTATCACTTACATGTTTGCATGAACCATGGTATTTTTATATTTTTTAAATTTTAAGGTATCTTTATATGGTGTCTTTATAGTAAAGATATGGTATCTTTATATTTTTGTAATCTGTCTTAATCAACAAATTGTCCTGGCTATAAACCCACTGACTTCTCACTACACATATTTGCATATCAGAAAGCTCTGGCATGTATATGTATTACATGGAGAAAAGATGAGACTGACTGTTTATGAAGAACTGAGAATAGAAGAAAAAATGGCCAAATATCTTTCAGAAGGAAAAAGCATTAGGTGTCTCTTATTGGGATCATCTGTGCTCAGCAGATCCCAACTGAAGAGAGAGTTGCAAACTAATGCCTCTGTACTTCCTGAATATAATAATAATGGGAAAGACACCTAACCTGTCAGATAGATATCTATCTGGGGGGAAGCAAAACATCTACTGAGATAAATATGTTCTCTGAGAACCTGAATAGAGAATAAATACAGGATTTAAAAGAAGCCTTTTGGGGAGAAATTTGTTTAGGAACCCTATTGTCTAGTGCAAGATTTATATATTGTTCTAGTCCCCAGCAAGTGAAGCTGGTAATGATCTGGGAAGAGCTGGCAGGATTGCTAGCACCTGCAAATGCAGACACAGTCACTGTTCAGCATAAGCTATTTCTATTTTCCTTTTTGAATATTTGTCTCCAGACTCACTGTAACAGAGTTCCCAACTGAAACCCTGTTACTTGAGAGATCTTGCAGCTGGTAGTGATTATGGCCTGGCGGGGCAAGAAGATGCCCCACGCCCGTGGAAAGCCAATGGGGCTCAGTGCTTGGGGATATGAAGAGGACAATGCCCAGGGAAGTTGCTTTCGGGCACCACAGGACAAGAGAGGAGCTGTGGGGGAGACTCTCCGAGAGAAGGATCCAAGAGGAGAGATCCACAACGCAGGATCAGTGGGAGCCGAGGGATCCCAGAGCTCAGGACCCACAGGCCCACACACCACCTACCAGGAATCTGCGAGAACGGCAGTGAGTGTGGGGAACAGTGGAGCTGCAGCGCGGGAAGAAGGCACAGTTTTGGCACCGGGACACAAAGAGGCAACCTGAAAGCCAAACGGAGCGGGAGGTCACCAGCCTAGACCCCTAAAGAGTCCCAGAACAGCATCCAGACCCCGAGGGGAGTGGAACACTGGGGGCCAAGAACACGGGACTTGACCACAGGTGAACTCCTGAACCTGCACGCCGGCACTGCGCGGCAAAAGAGACTGGGCGGCACCTGTAACAAGCTGCTAATAAGGTAATTAGCAGCAGGGAGCCCACATGTGAGAGAAACAAAGAAAACCCTTCTTCTCCCTTTCTCTGATCATGGGGAGTGGGCAAGGACCTGGATAAGACGGGGAAGCCCGGCAACACCCGAGGCAGGGCAGAGGACTTGGAGGGGACCCTGCGGGGACTGATTGTTCGACACAGCTACTAGCAGGCAAGACACTCCTCCTCACTTACCATCCCAGTTGAGGTGCCAGGGATCCTCTTCAGAAGACGGGGGTGATCCCAGGAACCACCAAGCTGCTGCCTCCCACCTGGTTCCCTGTAAAAGGAAGAATAATAAAAGCACCTCGATTGTAAAATAAACCAAACGTGGTCCTTCCATGGGTACTAATCATACAACATCTCTCCCCTCCCTATTTCTTTGATAAGATTGAAGTCATGGCAGGTGAGAACCAGGGGATCAGTCGGTACCCTGCGCGGACACGCTAACAAACTGGTGCATTGGCTGGGAACATGGACTGCATGACGGAAGCCATTAACACGCAGGCTCCCACGGACTGGCAGCAAGCGCATAACCTCACATTAAGACTCCTCCAGGTCCAGCAGGCCCAGCTGGAAGAGACGGTGAGGATGCAGACTGTTTGCATTCAGCAAGGATCCAGCTGTTTGCATACCAACAAGATCTCTGTGAAAAGATTGAAGTGCAACAGATGTCCCTGGTAAGAGAAGGGGGTGGCCTGGGACTGCCTCCGATGTCAGCTGATGTAGAAGCTTACCTAGAGGCATTTGAGTGGGCAGCAATGGCCGCAAAATGGGACCCGGGAAGCGGGGTGGCCAAGTTGGGGCCTCTCCTTATTGGGCCAGCCCAGGCCACCTACCACGCCCTCAATAGGGTAGAGACACGGGACTATAAGAAGGTGAAGGCAATTATTTTATACTGGCTGGAGATTTCACCAGAGATGTACCGGCACAAATTCCAGGCCAAGAAGGGACCCAAGGGGGGATGGCCTCAATTACTAGCACAGGCCCTCCAGGACCTAGCTGAGTGATGGTTATGGCCAGAAGCACACACCACTCAAGAGATAGTGGATACGATAGTCTTGGAATAATTTTTGACACACCTCGCAGGTAGCTCCCAGTGATGGGTCTGGCACCACCACCAAAAGATGATGGAGGAGGTGCTCCACCTAGGCAAAGATTATGCAGCAGCTGAGGGGGAAGGGGAGGCACCCAAGAAGGACTGAGCCAGTGGCCCTACTCTTGCCCCTTGACAGACCACCACTGCACCTCCTAGATGAGGAGAGGCCATATGGAGGGAGGGACATACAGGGGGCTACAGGGAAATGTTCTGTTACTGCTGTGGTGAGAAGAGCCATATATCCCGTGTCGCAGAGCACTTAGGTGCCCTACTCCTATAAAGAGGGGAAACTGCTGGGGAAAGAGCCCTAGAAGTGAGTGGAGAGCCCCAGCTGCTAGTTACCAGGGCAACCAGAGGGAGCTAGTGGCCCACACCTGCCAGAGGTCAGGTGACTGGAAGGGGCAGGGCCTGGCCCACATATAAACCCCAGGGCTGAGGCCGGGGTGGCAGTTCCCTGCTGGCAGCCAAGGGGGAAGAAGCTCTGCCTGAGCAAGGAAAGGGGGGGAGGCCTGACTGCATGAACAGCTCCTGATACTGATGAGGGATGGAGCACCCCTGGAGTGGCTCAAATGATGTTTAGCTAGGTGGCTTGAGTTTATGTTATAGCCCAAGGGCTCATGTTTTGTTTGCTGTTTAAGACTGGTGGCTTGGGTGAGGCTATAAGGGGATGGAGGCAGCCTCATAGGGGATCCACGGTAGCGTGGACCCGGCCCCAGAGAGGGGGGCAGCGGTTGAGAAGCCCCAGTGAGGGGGCAGTGATTGGGGTGCGCCAACCCAAGCACCAGAGAAGGCACAGCATTAGGAGTGTGCCAACCCTAAGCACCCAGTGAAGCGCAACCCCAGTGCCAGAGAGGGCACAACATTTGCAGGGCACTGAGCCCAGCACCAGAGAGGGTGCAGCACTTTGCAGCGATGGACAGCCCAGGTGCCAGTGAAGGCATAGAGTGAGACAGGGCCGTGGAGAGCCCGAGCGCCAGTGAGACACAGAGCAAGACAGGGCTGTGGAGAGCCTAAGCACCAGAGAGGACACAGAGTGAGACATGGCCCAGGGAGGACAAGGGGGCCAAATCATAACAGGGCCCAGACCAAACAACCTCGGTTCCATCTGCAAGGCTTAGGGCATGGTAAAGGGGTGGTTGGAGCCACGCATAGCCCATAAGGCTAGGGTGCCCCAAAACACCCATTGTATAATGGGACCCACAAAGGGTTCAAGAATCCACAGGGTCAGTGAGTGCAGCAGAACCATGTCCAAGATGATGTAAAGGCAGCCTCCCTATTATCTTTACCATCAAAAACATGTGGCAGGCAAAAATCAAGAGTGCCCTTAGGGCCAACTTGGCATGGGAAGGGGGCCTTAGGGAGATCACGGCCATCCTACAGGATGCCACACCGTGACATCCCAGTTTTGCCCTAGGCCCCCAGTCCCATGCCTGAGACGCACAATGAGAAGATAGATTGCAGCTTTGGGTGCCACCGAGGTCCGGGCCAGAAGAGCAAGCCCGTGGTGGAGGTTTGTATAGGTAACATGATCACACTGGTGGTTGTGGATACAGGCTGCTCCCAATCAATGGTGCGTAGCAACTTGCTGCCCCTGCATCTAGGTAGCACTGGAACCCCTGTCTCCATGATATGTGTCCATGGTGCGGCCTACACGTATCCACGAAGAAAGGTGGAACTCTCGGTGCTGGGGCAAACAGAAGAGATCCCGGTGGGGCTGGCTGAAATGTTACCCTGTCCTATGCTGTTGGGCGTGGATTGGCCACACCTGAAAGAGGTCATTCACCAGCTAATGGCAGACATGCCTGGGGGAGATGAAAGGAGGCCCCAGACCCTTTGCTTCAGAGACCCAGAAGAAAGTCTTGATATCGATCAGATGATAAGAGAAGGAGACTTCTGCCAAGAACAATGCCAGGAACCCTTGTTTAAGAACCTATGGAGATCCCAGCTCAGGGAACATGAGGAAGCAACTGGAGCAGCCCTTAGACCCCCCCTCCCCCAAACCCCATGCTATGAGGTAAGGAGGGGCCTGCTCTACAGGGTAGAAGACCTGGAAGAGGGAGGAGAGAGCGCCCAGACCCTGGTTCCCCAGAGATATTGGGAGGACTTACTACAGGTTGCCCATACCCTGCCCATAGGAGGGCACCTTAGGAGAGATAAAACGGAGGCCAGACTTAAACACAAGATCTTCTGGTCTGGCATATACAAGATGACAAAGAAATTCTGTGCGGAGTGTCCGGAATGCCAGAAGACCCGGGGAGTAAGACTGGCTAGGGCTCCCTTAATACCCATGCCCCTGACTGAATGACCATTTGACCATATTGCCTTGGACATAGCCGGACCTTTCCCCATGTAGTAGGGCAGGGTACCGGTTCGTCCTTGTGATCATTGATTACGCCACTCGGTTCCCCAAAGCAGTACCATTGAGGTCCATGACGGCACTAGCTAT